AGAGAGAGAGAGAGAGAGAGAGAGAGAGAGAGAGAGAGAGAGAGAGAGAGAGAGAGAGAGAGAGAGAGAGAGAGAGAGAGGGGGAGAAAAAGGAAAGAGAGCAAAGTAAAATGGGGACAGAGAAAAAGGGGAGAGATAGAGGGACAAGCAAACAGGGGAGTGGGAAAGCCAAAAATAAGAGGAAACAGGTGCAGCTGTGCAGCGATAAGTCTCTGGAAACCCCGCGGTGGATGATGTGGACCAAGGGAAGCACTGAGGTTTATCCCACTTTAAGCTAAACAGCAGGCCGTCTGGTTGAACAAGCAAGCAGAAGAAAAACAAACACAATTCTGTCACAAATGTCAATTCTATACACGTTTCTGCTGAACACCAGATGGTCCTCAGCGTAGGTTCTCATCAGGTGGAGCTCCGTATGAAGCACATGTTGAAGGATGGAGCTTGAGAGGATTTAAAGGTGCAGCACCAGCAGACACTGGCAACGTCGAAGAGAGTACGCTTTTCTATTCCGTGTGCTCAGCGACACGAGTGCCCTGATGATTAAAAAACACTTCAACACAACATGGGAAAGATGGCCGTCATAATCTTGGATCCGTGACAGTTGTGTAACAATTGTACTATTTCTCAACCCCTGAATGCACGCATCACCATTACAGTGTGATGTACTCTAAAAATCAGAGAAGTGGCTGTGCTAGTAATGTTTCTCAAGAGACAACACAAGCCATTGTAATGCATGCATCATAGTATTACTAAAGTACAAATTGTGAGGAAGGAAACTGAACAACCTGGACACAAATATGTTCAGTTGAATAGAAAACTGTGGAGGCTGCCAGGTTCTATCTATCAGGCAGGAGACAAGAGGCCATTGCCATGGTGTGAACTGCGGATACCTCTCTCTCAGAGTGGAGGAAAACAGGCAGAGAGCCAAGGGTCATCCCTGTCTTCTCCCTCAACGAGGCTGCCTTAGGAAAACTTCCGGTTCCCGTGTTTTGAAGGTAGTAATGCCTTTCCTTGTGCATGGAAAGAGAGTGGAAAATAAGTGTAGTGTTCTTGTCAGCGGATTAAATAAAAAGGGACATGCTGAGCTCCAAAAGATGTCAACAGGAGCGTCAACTTTGTCGCCTTGCATAAATCCATTAAGTGCACTCTCCCCGTACTCACTTTTCCCTGATTGTCCTCGATGCCTACGGAGGAGCACACTTAGTCATTAAAGGCTTAGAAACCTCACCGAAATCAGGTAAAGATGGGCGATAACGTGCAACCGGTCCTCTGCCAGATTCAGAGCAGGGGCGTCGTCTTCCTAACCCCCAAGTCCTGACAGTAGATTTGTTTTACACTATGACGTGTAAAACGTGGCTCTTTTAATGTTTACTGAGAAATCAAAATAAACAAGTAATTTAGTCTTGAATGGAGCATTTTAGAGTTATTTGCCATCAAACGATGAATATTCTGAATTTATTCCCAATTCTAACTATAAAGTGAGATAACTTCACTTATTCCCTGTGCAGTTTACCCGTTCCCTCGCAACAAGACAGAATAATGTTTGAGTCACGGCTGGTGTGATCACATCGCAAGATGCTCTTACGTTTATTCTGAACAGATTATGAAATCTCACAACAGTTGCAGATTTTTTTTATCGTTTTGTAATGCATTTGGCTTTTGAGTTCTTCTCCCATTCCACCGGATGAATCATTTCTATTGCACAGACTCCTGAATCCCCATTCCTGTAACCCAGCCTCTAAATCAATTAACCCAGAGCAGAGTTCTTAGAGAGTCTTCTTCATTAGTCAGCACTGCAGCAAAGCCACGTCTCGTTGAAGACATAGAATACTATGGCAGCTTTGGTTATTCCTCATATTCTTACAAATATTAAGACGAACACAGAAAGAATTATCAGAGGGAGCCAGATTCCAGTGTAGCAACTGAGCATCCATCTTTTTTAATACAGCATAACATTCGTTCATCAGCTTTTACTGCCTAAAGAAATCCTTCTTTTAGAAGAGTTTTAAAGACTAGACCCAATAAGATATACTGCACTGCAATGTGAGCTCAATTTAAATTGCATGCTGAAACATGTCAACCCTGACAGTTGTTTCTATATACTTAACCCAGGTAATCTACCACCTGATAATACAATGTGTCTCCACACAGTCCTCCGCTGCTCCTCCTCCTCTCTAATCCTGCCAACTAATGCTTCAGCCTTGTGTACTCAGCACATTTTAATTCCCTCGCCCTCCCTCTTCTTTGACCTACAGACCTGTAGTGCATCCTCCTCGCAGAGCTCCGTGTTCAACACTATTTGTTGATAGATTTGTTTTTCCAGCATAACAGTGATAATATCACGGCAAGTCCAAGATGAGCAGCGGTGACTTATTTGAGAAATGAATATAGTATAACTGTGATTGTCAAACACTTCCCACAAATCTCTTTATATATTCAGAATGAATCAGACATCACAACCACTCTGTGGTCCGGTACTGTACAGCACGCATCCCGCTCCCTCCTTCATCTCAGCAGTGACACAGCTGGGTACACATCTGGAAATAAGATAAAGTGTAGCAGGCAGCTGTTGTGGGATGATGCTGTGACACCAGCAGCCATCATCACAGTGGGAACATTGCTAAACCAACTGTAATGTATGGCCGTCAAACAGAGAGAGAATATGAATCCAGCTGTGAAAAAGAAATGCCTAATGCTCCTTGAAGCGGAGATGGTCAGGCAGGGATGCATTTTGATCCACCAATCCCTTCAGGAACATTATAACCACAACCTGTGATTCTGAGTAACGTGTTATTCACGTCTGTTCTAGGATTGAAAAATGGTTTCCTTAAAAGCAAGGCCTTGTCAATTCACAGATGTATCATGGGAGTCTTTTTGCAAAGGCAACAGAGACGGCATGTCTCAAAAACACATATCATGAAGACAGGTGATTCATTTGTCATATTTGAATGGATTAACTAAAACTACTGAAATGCCTAAAAATACAAATGGACTAAAGTCTGTGCCTTAAAACACTTCCAGAGCCATTTCATGTCATGTGGATGCCCATTCTGCAAACATAAGCCACACATCTTTGGGTTTTTTTATTAGTTTTATACTCTTGACTTGTCCATTCATGGCATCCAGGTTAATGTATAAAAAGAAAGCAGGTAAAATGTTAAAAGCAGGGCAAATACTCAAAAATGTAAAGTGAATGTTGTCAGCGAGACACAATCGGGCAAAATGAGTTTCCAACCTTGCGAAAGGGGCTCTGAGTTTGGCACTTTGACATGAAGGTTATTATCATTTCCCAGCAGGCTTATTATCTCCTTAAATCCTTTCATTGAAAACAAACATCCTTCAAAATAAAACGGCGTCTGGGTCTCTAAATTAAACAGACCTTTTCCCTAATCGCTCTGCTCCAGATAATGCACAAAAAATGAATAGAGTAGTTAAACCTTCGTAAGTTTTTAGAAACATGTCATTCGTCTCAGATTTAAAAACCACTTACATTTAGGAAATCCTAAATTCCCTTTCAGGGTCTCAGGAGCTGGAACCTGTCCAGCATTCACTGTTAGTCAATTATAGACAAGATACAGGTGGACAAACACCAACTTTCATTATGAGTAACTTCATGTTAAACTCCACAACAACAGGAGTAGTGAACTCCGCACCCAAACGTGTGTTTATGAAAATAAATGCGCTGCTTTTTAACACTCTTACCAACTGGTTTGTTGACTCCTAGAAAGCCGGCACTTCCTAAGATCTTGAAGACTTTATGGGCTGGAAACGTCCCTTCTGCTTCCCACTGGTCCACGTGGGGGTTGATCTCCTGGTCGATGATCTAGAGCACAAACAGAACAGGAGAGAGATACGATATGTTAATGTGTGAATTTTAAGCACATATTACTTTTTTTTTTTTTACCTTATTATGATTCCAACAACAATTGAGAGCCCTGCTTTTCTATTTCCTGTCTCATAACGGACACCAAGGATATATACATTATAAGTGAACACGCACAAGGACTTTTTTACGGGTTTTCTGCTTTGCAGAGCAAGTCTCTACTTAAGTCTATGTAATCTACCTCTAGCAGACAAGGTATTATATATCAATGAATAGAGAGCAGGCTGGAGATATGTAATACGTGGTGAATCTACAATGATGCAAATACAATGACAGCATGCATGGCATGCTAGTTCCTACAGTTACATGTTATCAGTCCCCTGCTGATAACCAAGGCGTGGCTAGTGACATACAATACGACAAGCTGAGGCTCATAAAACAAAGGCACGGGTGGTTTGGCCTCAATCCCATTCTGTGACATTAGGGAGCAGAAAAAAACGGGCTTAAAAAGAGACACTTACAGAATTTAGTGACAATATTTTTAACACAAAACGGTAAAGTTGCCCAATAAAACATTAGTGTTTTGGGATACGTTTTTTTTTTTTTAAAGGGATGACACAGAGACTTTTACACTCGAGGTGTTTGTCAGCTGATAGTCACCAAGTTTGCATCCAACCATTTGAAAGCCAATATTTTAATGACTCAGAGTTTCCTCCACCGTTTTATTCTTGGCAGAGCAGAAAAACCTCTAAAGTAATATTTAGTACAGCATGCAAATATAAAGCTCGGTACTGAAACCCATAATAAAGACATTCCTTCTTGGTTAGCAGCCACTCCATCTATTCAGCCACAAAGCCTGAGACACAACTGGCTGACAATGAAGGATAGCTTTTTATTTGATTTAAGATTAGGACAAAAAGAAATAGAGAAGAATTGAGGTTAACGAATAATTTTCACTATATAGGAGGTGGATGTTGTTAAAGTCACATATCTCTAAACGTACCAGCTGCCTGCTCATTTCTCTCAGAACTAAATATGATAATGAATTCATAAAAGAGGAACAGAGTCTATTCATCCTGTCGCAGAAGTACGAGTGTCTCTCGTCACCACATTCAAGCAGCATTGTGCTTTAACAGTTTATGAGTCATGGCCAAAATGTGTGCAGTGAAGTTGAACGTTGGCGCCGTGATTCATGTCGAGCACCTGGAAGTGGTCCACAGCTGGAGAAGAACTCATCAATCTGTTGGTGCACATTTTGTAGGAACTTGCAGAGAATAGGCTGCCGATATATATATATATATATATAGTGTGGCATATTTGGTTGACAATTCGTTTAACAATTCTGCCCCAAACAGAAGGCTTTCTAAACAGGAAGTGTGAGTGCACGTGATGCAAACAACAGTTTCGTGCTGGTATTAAGTGCTGTGCCTGCCATTTAAATCAAATAAAACCTATAAGCTGTGAATGTCTTTCTAGCTGAATGCTTTTCAGTTCAAATTAAAATGTTCTCCAACTACTGGATTTGCACTTCTTAGCAAAAATATTACACATCTTCAATGGGCCATGGTTTTAACAGAGCCATGACAATGCCCTCCACAATGCGTTTCTCTGCTCAGTACGATAAGCTCTAAATAGTGAGTAAAGCCGAAGAAAAGGGGTATCTCATGGGGCATAAAGAGGAAACATCAAATTCAAGTCTCGTCCGTTGATACGTAATGTTAAGGTAAATGAGCCATAAACGCCATTTGACTATTAGTCCTGTGTGTTTTACCATTCAAACTGTAACAACAAAGTACTGAAGAAGAATCCACAGGTTATTTTTTTCCAGGATTGCAAAAGTGATGCACACTCATCATTTTCCCTTCCAACACACACAAACACCAAACCAGCCAACCACTCGACAAGCCAAGAAAAACGCATCGGCTGAGGAACATCTGAACACGAGGCAGACAGAAAACACGGAAATCATGTTTTTGCTGCTCAAAACAGAAAACAGAAAACAGACACTACGTCCAACATGCTTGGGCCTGAATCTGTTAAAAATCAGGTTTGCTTACATAACGGCCAACACAAGAGCAAGCAGTTAAAAAGCAGGTTCGGGTCCCCTTTAACCTGCAATAAACTCGTCCATGTTCAAGGTTCAGAGGAGGGAAAGGGAGGGATGACGAGCTGCGGGAAAGGGAAATAAAAAGTTCGTTGGGGAGTGATCCTTCATCTCTATTGTGGACTATTTTTGTTGCATACCAGAACAATTTCACATCCCTGAACCGCCCAGTAGTGGAACGGGGTCAAGAAAATCGGGGTCAGGTCTTGCAAAATGTCCAATCTGGGAGTGTTTTCCCCTGGCGCACCACATACAGACTGGGTTTCTAGGTCCAACCAAAAAACGGTTGTGTTAACGTGGGTTTATTTTTCATATATTTATAGAATACAAAGTATTTAATATACTCCATATACTTGGATTCAGAAGTTTACTCACTATACGATATTATCAAGACATTTTGTCAATTAGATGACGAATTCTTACATATATTTTCATGTCATTAATTCGCTAGATTAGCAACAGACGTTCCCAACTGGTTATGTTTTGTATAAACTGCTTCAAAAGTTGAATATGAGAAAATCCATATCATGATATAAAATCCTATATACACCACAATACAAGATAGTGGATACAAATTGCTGACTCCTCCACAGACAGTCAGTCTAGGATACATCACAATGTGTAAGTGAAGAAGAAACTATACTCCTAATGGACTCAAACGTGTGTCAAATCAATGCGTTATAAAGTGTCTACAGTTTCAGAGTTTTGTAGCAGAGGTGAAAAGCTTCTTCAGCCTCTCTCTCACAGAAACACTAATCATGACATCAGCCGGAAAGGCCAAAAGGTTGAACCACCATAAAGCACTGGGGGATCCCAGTCTGGAACCATGGGAGGCTGCACACGAAGAGTCTCTTCCTAGAAATGTTGAGGAAATGCATTTTGGCTCCTTGTCCTCATTAATGGCAGAAGCTGACCACACACACACACACACACACACACACACACACACACACACACACACAGTTTGGTGGTTTGTACATGTGGGAGACAGGAACCTTGACTAATTTCTTTGCATGGGAAGTTGTTTCTCTCATCTATAAATGAGCACCACACCATTGAACGCGCGCACACACACACACACACACACACACCAATCACTACCAGAAAATATAAACATTGGCACAATGAATGTCTGACCTTGGACAGTCACTAAAGGATTTCCTATAACCCCATTTGTGTCCCATCTATAAACACACATCACCCTACAGTGAAGTCCTTTAATAAACCACGCTGCCTCAAGTTCCCTTTCCTGCACTGCCAACATATTGTTCTGCATTTCCTTTTCACCCTTCCCATTATTCCCAGTGCTAGTTTATTTCCAACCTCCTTGCATCCTTTTGAAGGTTTAGTCACAAGACAAGCTTCCCCCCCCCATTTACCGCACCACATCTTTGACTGCTGCCTTAAATTAGCCGCTTGTTAGCTTTGCAGTCTCTGTCTCCAAAATCTAGTTTAGTAATATGTACCCGAAATGAGTCACGCTGATTACAAATACCTGCTTTGAATTTTTTTACGACTATAGTTAGCAGCTGTTGATATTTAGCTTTCAAAAATAAAAGCTCTGCATGTTGGAAATCAGAAAAAAGGTGAGGCACACTGAGTTTAAGTGAACAAACATGGGGAAAGAAAACATATTTCTGAGAGAACAATAAAACTTTAAAACCTACCATTGCTAAAGCAAAGAGCAAATAGTCGGCTGTAAAGCCACTAATATAAATATACTATATATACAGTAATACTGGAGAAATCTGAGTAAATACTAAATGATTAGTCCACCTTGACTTCTCCTCTGAGCTTTTGAGACAAAAATAGCTGATCATCTCTACACCAGAATATTTCCGGGTTATGTTAAGCAATTTCATGGAGAAAAAGACATTCTTAAATCCTTGTGTGTGTGTACTGTACAAAAGAAAGTGGGAATCACTTTTTCCCATGTTACACAATCTGTTTTCCTATACTGCGTATTTTTGAATCTGCCAAACTCAACAAAAAGAGGAAGAACACCAGTTCCCAAATGTACAATATCTGTGTTTTCAAGATAAGGCAGATGAAATTCAGTGCCAAAAATGTGTTTGATACGAACAAACAATATATCTGCTTTGGCTGAACGACATTGGCTAACATCACTGGTTTGATAGGCAGTTCAGCAAACCCCTCTGGCATCAGAGACTTTTCCACACATGAGTTCTGTGTACTGACCTGACCTACAAAAGGGTTAAATATGAAGCTGACTGTAAATGTAGGAGTGTAGGGAGCCTACACAGTCAACACTAGCAAGCTAATACCATTTAGCTAATATTAGTCTCCGAGACACATCTAACATGTGCCATCTAAACATCATACTTTATCTAAAGCGCAGCTGTTAAATGTGTTCTTGTTGCAGTATTGATTTGTGCCGGGACCCCTCTCTCCATTTCTTTCATTATGCTCGCTCACATTTCAAACACAGTTGCTCGGATTAACCACATATTGTGTGCATCCATGGCCTGCAAGTCACACAATAATTCCTGGCACGTACGTATGAATCTGAACTGACAACCAGTGATGTGGACGATCTCAGTGCAAGAGCAGAGATGCGGCACAAGGTTGGCAAAAGGAGGGCTGACATTGATAAAGTGGTGCGTACGAGTGCACGAGATGGGTCATGAGAACACACAACTGTGCAGACTGTGTTCGGTACCATAACCCAGCGTAGCCTCAGGGGGGGCGATCACACCGTCGCTATCAACCGTTTTATGTTTTTCCCTCCTCCTCATTCAACAGCAGAGCAACAGCAAGAGCTCAATGTTTGCATTACATCTCATGAATGTTGATGCATAAACATGAGCCTGCTGATCAGTGGTTCTTTACGGTGAATCACGACGACTACCGAGAGGAAGAACACTCGTTCCCTCTTGATTCTTCCATAAATGCAGTCCTAACAGTGCCGGAGTATCTAGTGTGCAGTCAGACTGATTGATTCCAAAATCATCACGACAATCAGTGGCATCCACCACCCTGGATAGGTTTTTAAATGTATTTATTAATTTACTTATGTTTTCTTGTGGCATGATGCATTTGGGCGGATAATGAGAATATATGGAGTAATTGTACAAGAGCTGTCACTGGCTTTATTTCCACACATTGCAAATCTTTATGTGCAGGTGGTGAAGATGAAGGTGAGGTGACTGGAGAAGGTGTGTGACACTATGGAATAAACCATAAATTAATCAATAAAGTCGAGTGCACTGCAGCGATTTCACTTACAGACTCACGCCTCTCACATTGTACTTCTACAGTCTGGCTTTAATTCACCACCTCATCATCTGCGTCGCCTATTGTCTCCAAAATGTTGGTACGCATGAGTTTGTGTACTTGACATTGTCACGTCAAGTTTGTTTTAATAGATCACAACGTTTTGTGCATACGCAACGCTTATTAATGAGGCCCCAGGTCATGTCTGTGCATCAACATTCATGAGGTGCTTTGCATTGACCAATGCATGGTTGGATGTGGGCGTGTAGGGGGCGGGACGTGACCAGCTGCGCATTTACAGGTTGATTTAGGATTTATAAAATGGCTCACTGGAAGGCTTATGCAAGGTTTTAAAAATGTGATTATGTTTTGACGTACGTGCATTTCCTCCTTTTAACGTACGCAAACATGTAGTATGTATGTTATTACGCACTGTTATATGAACAAGACCAACGCTACATAACAACTTAGTGACCTGTCACCCACTTTCATTATACTGCTCCTCCGCTGCTTCTTACAGGTGCATTAAGTAGAATAACACTGCTGCGTTCAAGCAACACACATAACATTTAAATATCCACCTGTCATAAGCTAACAAAAAGCTAAATTTAGCTTTGTTTTTCAAGTTTGCTGCGATGTTAACGATAGAGATGTCAGCGTTACCTTTCTGAGGGACTCCTTTAATGCAAAGTGCTCTTGTGTGTAGATTAAATGGTCCACCACGGTCTCTGGGGCACTGGGCGGTACGGGTTTAGATGACACGTCATCAGACAACGACCGGACACCAACACATGAGGTGAATTTGTAGAAATTACGACTAATAACCAGCTGGTTTAAACGCAGAGCTCCTCTGGGCAGCGCCATCTTTGTTGACAACTGTTTGTGTGCGCATGCGCGTCCTGTGAACTTTTGTTTTCTCCTGGCATGTAACATTAGCGCCAGTGGGAAATTAAAGATTGAGAGTGTTTGACTTTCTGTTGGCTTGTATGTTTTTGGGGAAATACCGCTGAACAAATAGAAAATAGGTAACCTATTAGTTGTAAAAAAATAAAGCTTCCACCACTTACAGTATTAAAGCGGTTCACAACGTAGAGGCCAGGGCCCTTCAAGGGGTCACGAGATAAATCTGTGGGTTTGCAGAACAGGAGAGAAGGAAAAAAACAATACTTCCTCTACTTCCTCTTTTCTTTTTTCTAATCTGAGATATTTTATTGTGAAATACCAGATAGTTTTATCTCTTCAGACTTCTACAAATAAGTAAAATCACTGAATAATTGATAACTTAAACTATCTGCAAAGCGGAAATCCCACATGCAATGTGTGGGCAAGGGTCACAAATAGACATGTTTTATTCTAAGGGGTCAGAAGGAAAAACGGTTGAAATCATCCGTCTTAAAGATTTATAACAGTTGATTTGCATGATTTTGACCATTTATAGTAAATACAATCTAAAGTTTATTCTATTCCGGGCAAAAAAAGTAAAACTGTGCAGAAAAGGAGGCAAAATTTGCACATTATGGTCCTCTAAAGATGCTACAAAATGTCAGAGGTATCATAAAGATTTATGAGAAAAGGATGTGTGAACTCTTAATATAAAAAATTGAGTTATAAAGATGTATCTGCTTCCTTACTCTGTCTGAAAACTTCCCACAGTGAATGATGGAAACAGGCTGAGTTATAAACAAGCATTTAATGTCAGTTGCTTCAGTGTATGAAACAACACATGGGCCCATTTGCTCAGACTACACACCACATGAGAGAGACGCATTACATAACCCTTTGCCAAATACAACTTTTATTTATTTAGTCTTTTTAAAGAATACGATTATCAGGCTACACATCTGTACAGAAGAAGGGGAATCGTTTACACGGGAACTCATGAGGTTTTATATATTTTTTCTCTATTATGTCTCTCTAGTCTTCTCAGTCTGCAAATCCATGTGATAAGGGGAGGGAGAATGTCATTGGGTGCTAATCTTAGATATGAAAAGCTCCTTGGGTCCAGTCTAGCAGACGACACAGCCACCTTTCTCCTTGAATGGGTTCTTCTCCTCTGAAATGCCTTTGACGAGGGTGTCCTCATCCACTCCAGCCTGAATATAGTCCTTGATTTCCTCACAGCATTTAGATGTCTGAAGTGATCAGACAAAAATGTGTTGAGACACTCTTATCCAGAAATGTATTTCAGTTTGAAATGCTGATTAAATTAATTGTACTGTCTATAAAGTTGACGATTATTATTTGTTGCTTGTCAAGGATAAAAATCTGAAAACTGAAATTATTCACAGGTATCTTTGAAAACAATAAAGACATTGACATGTCCATCACCTCAGTGCAAAAAAAACAACAACAACTTACCAACCACCTCTCAAGTTTGACTTCAATTTTTAGTTGGTTTACTTCCATTAAAGCCTTGTCCTTGTCCGTCAGGTCGTCTACGTTTATGACCGGCATTCTCTGTCAAAAAAGAAAACATTCAGCACGTTTTGATGAATCTTCACCGCCATATGGCATAAAAGGTCGCAAAGTATTCTAGTACACACTCCACAAAACTTAATTAAAGTAATATAAATACTTACGGATGCTTACAGGGAGCAGTCCTTCACCCCCGAAATCCTTCTGAAGAATCGCGGTCCTCTCCCTGAGTCTGGGTTATAAAGTAATCTGCATAAACAATCCTAATCCGTTAACCGGATTAAAACAAGGCCCCACTGTATGATCAAGACATTACCTGAAGTATGTTATCAAACAGGACGGTGAATCACACAGGTGTCTGTTTGGCTTCTTTAGAATTATATTTAAAACAAGAAACTGTAGTGCTGATTAAATGCAATGGATTCGGGCTGTTTTGACTCTGCTTTTCCTCATATTCAGAAATGGGTTAAGGGGTGGTGCTTCATGTGTCAGGTCACTTTGATAAGACGGCTAATCTGTATTTATAGCCTCCACCTGTCAAGATGGAGACGCATCATTATTCTTAACATGACTGCACTGCAGTTTTCCAACAGAATAATTAACACTAGATGGAACAAACCAGATATGTGTAACCAAAGCTACATTGTATTGTGCAATATATACTTAAATTGAATGCTGCTTTTTAGTCTGAGGAATGGGGACCTTGAGTGTTTGTGCAAAACATTACTGTTTCCTTGAAACACTCTGGGTGGCTGCTGCAATTATTAAGCAAAACAAAAGATAACATCGACTACAAGGCTGGAAACTAGGCAACAGTGCTTTGAGGCTTTGAGTGAAAGTGTGTGTGTGTGTGTGTGTGTGTGTGTGTCAGATCCAGTTAGACAGGTGTGTGATGGGATCTTGGCAGGATGGCTCATGCACCATCACCATCATAAGTGACCAAACGTGACCATTGAAGACATTGGGAATTCAACTTCCTCCTTTGTTATTTCAGTTGCGTTGAATATGGCTTTAGTCACCACAAACACACGCAACAAACGCGATATTACAACGTCAAAACGAGCCTCTCTGATGTCAATCATGAATTAATCACCATGCACTCTAATCTGGTTTCGCTGTAGTTTGAAAATGAGTCATTAGATCCCCGCCCCTAAAGTTCCCCATGGGAAAGACTTCACTCAACTATAAAAGTGGATGTGGCTGCCATGGTCGGCAAAGCGGAAAAGACTGCAGTTGAAGCAAAAGTTTAACAATGGAGTTTTGCACATTAGCGCTGTTTACACTTTTCTCCTCGGTTTACAACGTGTTGGCGCTGTCACCTAAAGGTAGATCTGTCAGCAACTTCTCTCGTTTCTTCAGTATTTTACCGAACTTTAAAAAACAAAAAAAAAACACTTGATAGTCCTCTTGTTGTTGGCCATCATATGACCTCCTGCGTGAGACATGCTGCCGTAACAGATCGCCAGTCTGGCGGCTGTCACGCGCAGCGATGCGTAAAGCTTAGTTTGGTGTTTCAGTGACAATGTTTTTTGCTGCTTTCAGGCGCGTGTCTCCTTCAAGTGGACGAGGGACCTTGCAAAGGAGAAATTGAGAGATACTACTACAATACTATCACCCAAAAGTGCGAGCTTTTCTACTACGGAGGCTGCCAAGGGAATGCCAATAACTTCAGGAGTTATCAGGAGTGCCATAAATCATGTTTCAGAATCCCAAGTAAGTCCTCTCTGTGCTGAGCATACACTTAAGATGATGGTGAACTTGCACACCTCAGACAGCTATTATAAGTGTACTGTGTGTAGTTTACCCTTTTTGACTTTTTTAAAAAGAAAAATATCCTGAATATTAAAAGGTATTTTGAAATGTGTTTGTACTTTCATGCTGCCTATTGTTTTATTTGAATAATTAACTAACTCAAGACTTGTTGCTCAACATCTTCAACCACACTAGTGTTGCCTATAACCTTCAAAGGTGTCTTTATTAGGTTTTCCAAAGCACAACAAGTCAGAAAAAAACAGGCTTGGCATGGTTGCTTCACTTTCTATATTTGATAAAGGCTTACCTTGACTACTAAGAAAGACATAAATGTATATTTTAATCTAGATTCTAGTTAAAGTTATTGTGCAATAGTTGCACAAACACTTGAGGATGCCACATGATCTAATCCCAAACTCACATTTTGTCATTCTGCCCCCCGCAGAGGTTCCCCAGATCTGCAGGTTTCCTAAAGTGGAGGGACCCTGCCGCGCCCTCTTTCGCAGCTACTTCTTCAACATGACCACCATGCAGTGTGAGTCCTTTTCCTACGGTGGCTGCCAGGGCAATTCCAATCGCTTCCGAGACCTCACCGCTTGTAAGGAGTACTGCAGTCCACGAAAAAGTGAGTACAAACTTATTTACTTTGAGGTGCTGCCTCTGAAGTAATCCCGAAGTGATGCTCACTGGCATCTCTGCATGCGTGGACGACATGGTGATGAACACTGAGATACCGGAGATGATTTCATTCTAAAAGTAAAGATTTATTTTGTTAAGAATGAAGGAACAAACAAGCGATCCGTGTGAAATTTAGGGGCACTTCTGAGAAATAACTTAATACATTCGGTACTTGTGAAAAGAGTGTCTCATCATGCCTTTGTGAGAAAGCACGATGGATAAAGATATTCCAGACATAATAAAATGGTTAAAACAATGAATTTACTTTTTGGGAAAAGCAATCAAAAACTCTGATGGTATACTCTTCTTGGAAGATGATGACTGGGCTTTGCGTCTCATTTCACAGCTGTTCCTATGCTCTGCCTGGACCCTCTGGACAAAGGGAGGTGCTCAGCCTCCATTCCTCGGTATTACTACAACACAGCCAGCAAGATGTGCGAGGAGTTCAGCTATTCAGGCTGCGGAGGGAGCAGCAACAATTTTGTCTCGAGGAAGAACTGCATGAACGTGTGTGTTACAGGTGTGTGAGAAAAGCTCACCGTCCACAATAACGGGAGAGGATCATTTGAGTGGAATTTGCAGACTTGACTCAGTAATGACGGTGTTTGGATCGCCAGTTAGAGCCACTTGTTGGTTTGAATTTTGAGAGAGGTTAGAAAGTCAGAGATTAATAATAATGCTCTGCTGATTTCATTGTCAGAGGAAGGGAAATCTGACTGGAAAGTTATATTTGCTTTATAATGAGTATAGAAGTATAGGCATTATAAATAAAGGTTATACTAATCAGTTTTTAAACACGTATTTTTTGTTCCAGGAGGGAAGAAACACACAGGCCAAGGCAAAGGTCGGCGCATGAGACGGAATAGATATAATCGGATCACTTTCTTGCAGGCGTAGACGTCTGACACTCGGGGATTCTCACTTGAACAAGGCCTTGGAGGAAACTTACCAAACTGACTGTTTTATGCCAAAATACTGTTTTATGCCAAAATGTTGACCAGCTCTTCTTTGTTGTTACTAGAAGAGTCATACTAGCACATACACACATTTCCACTGTATTGTTGTTTTGTAATGCTTTATGAGCTACTATAAATGTGATTTCAATGAAGTTTGTTACTACACTAATGTTCCTGATTGTGTATTTTGATACTGTATGTGTGTAATATGTGTTTTATAAGCAATACAACCATTTTTATCCGCCTAACTATTATATAAGCACATTTATTTTGATAAAAATATACAGAATTGTATAAAGTATCCTGCCGTTTTTTTCAAACTTTCATGGTGCTGATAGTATTACTTGAATAATTCATTTAAAATGCATTGCTTCAAATGTCTTCATCCACAGCAGTGCTATAACCTTCAAGGGTGTCTATTTGTTTTACCAAAGAAAAACAAAACAGGCTTGACTGGTTCCTTTATTTTCTCACAGTCACTTTCACTTATCGCTAGGCCTCCTTCATTCCTTACTAATGCTGCTGTCTTCCCTCCTTATCTGGTAATACTTTGTAAGGCACTCGAGCCTGTCTGGGTCGCCTCTGCATAGCCTTGAATCAGGAAGGAAGCAATCACGCGGCGGTGGCAGGTTCATTAGAGCGTTTCTGCATGTTTAGAGGAGAGGAAACTGCAGCATTACAAAAATTGAATCATAAGCCTCCAATGTCTTCAACGAATTAAAATTATATTAAAATGCACTCAATTATAAGTACTAACGGGAATGGATCCATGCACAAAACATGGTAAGCTAATGAATGCATATATATTTTCTCCCAAGCTCAATTATTAACTAAGATTTTCCCTTTTCTCTGATCAATGATACCAGTTTTCACAGATGATATACTTCATGTAACACAGGAGAAATCAATTTGCTCTGTAACGCCATTAAAGTAAAGATGCTGTTAATTCAAAGTATTCCGTGGTTCAAGAATATCCCAACAGTCCTAAATCTCTGCTTTGTTCCACCTCCTATAATAGAATAGCTGAAGCGCTGTGTGATTTTTCAGACAATAAATATTTATGGAAGATATCAAAGTAAACTGCTCACCCGTCTGGCTTGGGTATAAATAGCAATAAAGGTTAGGCTAGGCCCTTGGCTATTAAGAGCTCAAACTAAATCATACTGGATAGCGCTATGAGAGAGGATGTCATCCAAACCGTCTGCACTCAGCTTCTCAAAAGCAACATAATCCTGAAAATCATCACTACTGCTGGTTTTTGGGGAACTGAAAAGAAGCTTTATTATTGACTTATTGCTCTTTAAGGTAAACTCTTCATCCTAATAACGTTTAAAATACAAGTTAAAGCATTTTAAACGGTGAAGAAATCACATCCGGTTCAAGTCAGTAGTGGTTCATGAAAATGAAGCATGATGCAGTACAGCTTCTTTCTTTCTTTTTTAAGATATGAGCTATTTTTCTGTTGCGGATGATACTTAAACTGACCATTATGATGACAAATCTTTTCTTTGAGTTCAATTACACCTTGAAGCAACATATTCTTACGCTATATTTTAATTACCAAAAGACATGACAAACGTGTGAGATGGTACAGAAGGACACGGCTGGTTAACTTTTAATCATAACAAGGCTCTGTCTTGGACTATTAATTGGTGGCAATATAATACTGAGTGTAAAAGATCTGATGTATTCCAGAGGGCTTGAGATGAATCAATCCTGCTCTGGTTATTTCATTAGCTGCAGTGCATTAGGCATTGTCATTTTGTCTCAATGGTGATTAATGGACGTTTACAAAGAAGCATACTTCGCATTTAAAATGACAATAATTCCATTTTGTATGCTTTGACCTTTTGTCAGATGGTAACATTGTTTTGTATTTGTGATGTAGTTGTTATCAAAGTAAAACACTGACTTTAAAGTGCATAATGTCAAATTTTTTTCTGTATTATTTTTTAATGTTAAGTACTAAATACTTACTGGAGATGAAGCACCGGTATGCTAATTTAACATTCAACATTATACCAAATGACTGCTTCTCAAATGCCTCAGCATACAGATGGTGTGAGGTGCGCCCCCTGGTGGCAGATTCACATCTAACAACAAGTAAAAAAGGCAACTTTGATACTTCTATAGAGTACAAGTGTTAATATCCTCTATTTAAAAAACAAACACAGAAACAAGGTTATTGTCAAACCTGGCAGTAAATTAGCTAGTTTATTCACTGCTTTAATTAAAGTAGAATACTGCAGATACAACAGATTTTGCAGCCACCTGTAGTCACTCTGCACTTCGGACTATTGGAGCAACCCACGCAACGCAGCTCAGGTGTTGACTCAGCAGCATGCATTCGACCACAATCTGTTTGTGGGTGGATCTGGTTTGCTGAATTGAGCTCTGCCTTCAGAGTTTTTCTCACATCATGGGAGCATAAAAATCTCCGGGTGGAGATCCAGCTACATGGTATACAAGTTTCCTCTCTCCTTTTTTGGGCTCAGAACCAACTCATCTTGTGTTTCTCATCTTAGAAAACGTAAAAGGGAAGGTGGTCAAGCAGTAATTGAATATTTTAAATAAAGTTCCTCGGATGGAAAACAACAACCAAATCTGATATGGTATTGTTTTTGTTTAGACAAATCAATCTTGTCCAATGTGCCAGTGTCCTCAATGCCAGAAACAGGAAATCCATTATAGCTTTTTGTGATATAATCAGCAAACAAAGCAGCCCCGTCTTAAGATTGATGGGTAAATGTGTTATTGCTCTTGAAAACTTCCAAATATAACACAATGTGAGAATAATGTTTGTAAATGTCGGTGCTGAATGAAAACAAACCTCATTAGGTGTAAATGTTCACAATGTTTCTTAAAAATGAAATTATGGCAAAACAAAATTCACAGTATTTGTCTGTTTCATCGAACAGAAGTACGTTTTTCTGTTAATAATTTCTTTCCCTGTTAGATTTATATTACAATACGTACTCAGCTGCATTAAATCACAGCAGTAGACAGAAAGTGTGTTAGAAGACGTAAATTGAACTCTGGCTGCAGGAGAAACATTCTGCGTGCAAATTGAGGTGAATTTATATTTTAACATTCCTTTCTTATCCGTCAGAGTTTGGTCTTTTTAAACTGTAGACCAAACATGTCATGGCCTAACATGGCATCCGTTTCCCCAACATCCATCACCCTCCGTATGGAACATCTCAGACCACCGCCTTTTCCCCTAAGATTGATTGATGCATCTGATGATGTGAATCCGGGCTGTTCTTCACAGTCCATCTGGCTGCCAAACACACGTAGCTGTGACAGCTCCATACTTCTGCTTCTGAGATGTTTAGGAAGCCTTCACGCACCGATTATGATTTGCAGAGTAATGCACACAGAAAGAGATGAATTTGTCAATGTGAGTGTTGCTTGTTCACGTGCATGCGGAGGTTTACTAATAGTCATTTCCCTACCTTCAAAAGTCCTAATGTAATTTCACCCTGCCTTGGCTCCCGTAGTGGTGCGGTAATTGACTTTTGGAGGTGAATATAGATTTCTACAGTCTCTGTGACAGACTATTTTGTAACCTATTGTATGAGTTGGACATTTTGTTCGAAGAAAATATTGACCAAATCCTACCCTCTGTCCACAGGTCTTTGCTGTAACAACCTACTGTGCTTTTGTTGTTTGACAATACTATCGCATCACAGCAGATGACTCATAGCTGCAGATAAATATACTGCTTTCGCTCTCCTGCAAATGTGCCAGAATCCTTTTCCATCAAGGGTGGGATAATTAAAAGTGATCTGAGCAGAACAAACATATACAGATTCCTCTTTTTCCCTAAACCAGATCTTTTTTTTTCTTCCTGCACAGTTAATAAGCGCTGAAATAAAAATAAATATTTGAATTTGAGCAGGAGCCTCTTCCTCTTCTTCTGCACCTGTAAGCTTCAATATCCAGCTTCCCAGCTACATCATGCTCCCGTTCAGCAGTTCTCAGAATGTGCACCGTGGCACATTGGCACAATTGGGGTTTCATGGCTTAATAATGGGTTTTTAATACATATCAGTCTATATTTAAAGAAAGCTGACCCAACGCATGCTGCCCACGTTGAACAGGAGAGCTGAACATTCCTGAATACGCATGTTGTATGCAAACTGGAGGTGAAGAACAATCTGTCTATTGTGAAACCTGCTGCAAACTCAACTGGATATATTTTTGCTGAATGGTCAAGGATATGAGCTTACAGTACTTGTTGCATTACGATGTGTAAGAGTAATATGAACCAACTGGTCACACTGCTAAGACAATAACTTTGATATTTTACAAAGTCCCACTATATGTTCAGCAGCTATAGTCACTTTGTCTGTCTGCTGTTTGGTGCTGGGCAGGTTTACAGTGTACAGTGGGTTAATGAGAGGCTGTTTTTTGTTGTTGATGTTGTTGTTAATATGTTGTTTCAAACATATTACCCTGCAATTGAAATGCAAAAGTGGCACAGCTAAATCTCTCAGCAAAGACTAAAATGATTATGTCACATATAGAGACAAATTGTGGCGCTGCTCCATATAGAAACATAAGAGGACAGGAACCGCAGAGCTTTTACTGAGACATGGGCACATTTCCTGATTCACTGCTGGAAGCCTAAAAGCAGACATTTGTGATTGAAATGTCACCGCAAACACTCAGAGAGCCCACAGAGTCAGTCAATAATTCAACTCCTGATGACATCACCCATTTATTCATCATCCAATAAACAGCGTGTTGGTTCACAGTGGGGTTTGTTTCTCTTTGACGCTCTATAATCAGTGTAGAAATGGGAAACAATCCTAGAAAAGAAACTGCATCACGATCTCTCTTTTATTGAGATTAAATAGAACCACTGTCTTTCATCTGCAGGGCTAACAATCATTCCAGCCTCATTTGTTGTTCCTAAATTCTCCAAGATAAAATAAATAAAATCACATTCCTTCATGCCAGAATGTGCTGCAATGACGTCCTATTAACTCTAGACTGTGCACAGACACATCCAACACTGGCACCAAACTCGCATGGCCCTTTTCTCCGACATCATTATGCTCTAGTTTCACAACACAGGCACCCCTCCAGCTCCATTTTCCTCATTCACCTTCCATCGCCACCGCAACTGACCATAAAGAGGGGATTCAGCGAGGACGACATGCTTTTTAGTGGAAGTGTCCTCTGACCGCAACACCATCTGCAGCACAACTTCAAATGTGACCATTCAAAGTGGGTGGACTCACGATACGACTGTTCGGAATTCATTTTAACGAGGTGTGAATAATCTGTCACAATCAAAAAAATGAATCGATTCTCTTTCCCTGCCCAGAAATCAGTGCTGCTGGAAAATCACGTTCTTCATTATATAGCGTGATTTAGGGTTAATTTAATTAACTTGTGTGTGCAGACGTGCATGTCAAATGTAGCTGACACGGTCAGTGTTGTTTTCAGCTTGAGAAGATGACTAACATGTCTAAGTAGATTGTGTTTGTCCACTCCTCTCCTCCTCCCCCGTGGATGTTCTGTCTTTTCTGCTGGTTTGTTTGCAGATCTCCTGGCTTTAACGTCTTTCACTGCTATAATGTCTTGTGAGTATGCAGCAACATGTACTGTCCTGTCTGTCTGTCTGTCTGTGAGAGAGAGAGAGAGAGAGAGAGAGAGAGAGAGAGAGAGAGAGAGAGAGTGTGTGTATGTGAGGTGAGGACAATATGTAATGGCGAGAACTGCAGACAAACAGCTGATAATTAAGTGTAAAGTGAAGGTTGAGCAACAAACAAGACAACAATGTTTTGCTACTCCTAAAGGTGTGTTCTTTATACACAACCAGCTAGATGGCAGGTTTCACCTAGGCATCAAATTACCAGGGAAAAAAATAAAAAATAAAATTACGAAGGAAATAACCTGCTCGGTGAGTGCCTTGTGCTCTCGATTTTTTTTTCCATTTGCCTTCATACAACACACCTTTAAAAATAAACAAAAAACAAATCAACAATAATATCCCTACTTCAAGACTAAATTACATACGAAATAAAGACCCCATAAAGATGATAATTGGCATCAACAGTCAGTTGTCCAGTGGAAATCTCAGTCTGAAGCTTCGCTAAATAAATGATGAGCGTGGGTGTTTGATTACCATGCTAATTTGAGTAAAGCATAATGAGGTCTTGTTTAACCTCAGTTATCAATTATTGCCACAGCATTTAAGAAACACTTTGCTGTGTTTCCATCTTACATGAATTATATCACTGTGATTTTGGAGGGACCACTGCTGATTATCATTCCACTACAAAGTAGATCTTTAGACATTCATCATCTTGTTTAGAGTTACTCTTTGGTTGAGGTCAATCCTTCCCCACTTGAAAACACACATTGACACGAAACGGATCTGCAGAAGAGGGAAGGTTTTTCTGTGCTCACCTTAAAGGTGCTAAAAAATATTTTAAGCAAAAAAAAAAAAAAAGGTTATGTTGACATTCACTGTTACTCACCAATAATTAAGCATTATGTGCTTCATTGTGGTCTAACACATGTGTTGTCCTTACCCATAAAACATTTGCAAAGCTGAGTGTTTAACTACTTCAGATTGTTTACATCCCTGATTACTAGCTTGCAGCCGTCTTCCTCCATGTCTTTGCTGGTGCTTTTGCAGCACGTCTTGTCGTGTTACCGCCACCTGGTGATCAGTGGAAAGTGTGATGCCATAGGTAGGCCTGTGAAACAGCTCCATAGCGCTACTAGAGGTCTGGAACTCCACAGGGAGCCTTTAAAATACAATAAAGAGCATGATTTTGTGACATCACAACTGGAAGCCGGTCACAACTTCAACAAGTGTGATGTGGAGAATTAACTTTTCAGTGAAGTGGGAGACATCTTGCGTCCAGCAGTTAAAATTCTAAAACGCAAAATATTCACGTTTTTGCGTTTTTTTCATCCTTTCAATGAGCGAAAAGGATTGAATGCAATACGAAATGTGTTACACTTCAAGCATATTATTTTATTTGATTGAAAACATTAACATCTTTAAGGATATCTACAGAGAGTATATGACACAATCGAACATTAATCATTTTATTAGAAAAATATTAGAAAATCTGTTTGATAAACAAACAATTTATTATGCGATTTGTCACAAATCCTGTGGCCGCTACTTATATTAGTGGTATATATATATTAGTTAAGATATTTATAAAATGAAAAAATATGGTAATCAAAACAAAGAGGTCACTTTAAAGTCACTCATGACTTTCACATAAAAACACAGTTGTATATACATTTTAAACGTGCTGTTTGTTTCAATGCCGCTGTCCAAACGGAGCGCGCACAAGCTGTGTGTGTGTCTGATACACACAAACAGAGATAAGGCGAGGAGGAGCTCCACCACCTCAGGCTCGTCCGTGTGAACGGGAGGCAGTTAGACGCACTTGGATTACCGGGCAGTCAACTGTCACCGCTCATAACGGCTACAGACCGGCGCCCTGCCCAGCGCTCCTCTCCCGCGCGCATCGCCGGTCATTAATTCATCTCATAAAAAGGCAGACGCCTGGGTAAAGCCGCGTCAGTATGAGCATTTGATTGCTTTTTATTCTGGGTTTTATCTCCGTGGATGCAAAAAAAAAAAGTTTTTATTGACGCTGCGTTAAATAGGAGCGCACAAGCTGCGAGTCAGTCTCCGAGGACGGACACCACCGGGCTTCTCTGAACCTCATCAGCATCACTGTCACTGCGGCTGCTGTTTCTAAAATCTGTTGAAGTAAGGTAAGTCACTGCGGTGTTCCTTCTTAACTTCTTTAAGTCACTGCTGGTGCAAAGATTAGTCAGCTATCAGGGAGGTCGCATTTGCAGCGTGTCTGTCAGCACCATGAATCCCAATTTTCTTGATTGTGTGTCACATTTTTAGGACTGATAGAGGATAATAAGAACGTTATGATCGTGACTGTTGACGCAATGTGAGTTGGATTTTCATTTTCCTGTGTTCATGCTGTAAATGGATTATTTTTATGTCGCCCGTAGAAGAGGTGTTTTAAATCTAAACCCCAGTTTAGCTCAAGATTATTTTTAGGCAAGAGAGAAAATGCAAAATGTGACTCATACTCATGTGCACATTTGTCTATGATGCATTATTTATATGGCTGAACAAAAAAACAAGTAAAGGCTGAGAAAAGATTTAGAATTGCATGGGTGCATGCATTATACACACAGCAAAGCGTATTCAGTGGTTGTGGGCTTCTCCTGGAGGAATACTGGGATGCAATGCAGTGATCCACTGTGTATTTAAAATACACTTGTGCTCAGGAATACCAAACACAACTTGTGCAGGTTGAATACATCTTGGTGAATCAATGCAAATGTATAGATGTTTAACGGTGGAAAACAAACTACCCACATAGCTTGGCTTCTTCTAAACGTGTGCTCCACCAAAGAGATGCGAAGGGCTGTGTTACGGATGAATCCTTTACGTCACACACACACATATGCTACACACACTCACGACTTACATTTCGACACACAGTAGGCTACACACACACACGCACGCACGCACGCACGCACACGCACACACACACACACACACGGTTGTGTTGTATCCATACAGGCTTCTTCTTCAAAGAAAGTAACAGAACTAACATGGAAAGACATCTATTAAATATGAATTGTACAAGCTGACGAACACATTAAAACACACAAACAAATGATCAATCACGCAGCACACAATGCACAAAGGTATGACACAGATTAAAGGTCAATGCAACCTTTCTGCACTCCCTGTATTAATCATAATGGCACACTTAAAGGACACGGCATCAGTGTAGAGGGTGAGGCTAAAGCTGCTTCTTGCTTCACTCTCAGAAAGAACTGTTGACTGTTGAGTTATATTTTCACGAGCCAAATCCACCCTGGACGTCCTCTCTCTTCTCCTCTCCGTGAGAATTTTTGACACCACTTTGAAACCACCCTCATGCATTCACCCTCATATTGATTATATCAGCTAATTTGTGGAAAAGGGGGAAAATAAGCATTCCTTCATGGACCCAACGGCCCCCGCAAGCTGGAAACCAAATAAGCCAAAATCATGGACAAATGCTGCGTGCTTCAGTTCAGTCTCCAGTTGTGGCAGAAAAGATGAAGTGCCTTGCAGACGTCTGTGGCTAAATTGGGATTCTTCTTTTGGGGATTCCTTTGCGTTTAGGTAACCGTGTTTAGAGTAATGGCGTGTGTCATCTGGCGGTTTATTAGAGGCAATAGTGAGTGAAGCTGATTTGACTGCGAGGAAGAAGAGCTTCCCAGCACACGCTGATATACACGTACTGTGCAATACAGACGAAGACAAGAATAGCAACAGACACAGCGAGGCTGTCAAAGAAAGAGAGAGACAGAAACGGCACGGAATGAGATGGAGAGCAATGATGAGATACGTGCAGACAGACAGGCTGAGATATGTGCAGAGAGCCCTGCAGTGAGTTGGGCTGTTGGCATCGTGTCTGGCTGCTTTCTGAGTCCCAGAGATAAGTTAGTCGTTAATCATCCCGCATGCTGTCGGTCGGTCTGTCTGGTCAGAGAAGGCTGAGCGGGCAAGCCAGCAAGCTGCACATTTGCTCCACGTTTGAAGGGAGCGAGAAGTCAGAGAGGTTTGCATGAAAGGATGAAAAAAGAAGGAAAGACAGGCCTGTGGAAGGACTTAAAAAAATATCTGCGTTAGATATCAATGGTCTCCAAGTGTTTGAGGCACAGCTTTTTAAAGCTTTACGCCCCAAATGAAAAAAGAAATGGATGTGGGGGAGATGCAGACCTATGCAGCGTTTTTGTTCTTTATTTATCTTATTTGGGGTTTTGGACGACAATACTCTTGTGCTTATGTGGCACTGAGGACAATTGCCACACGGCCACAAACACTAGCACGCATAGCTTCTGTCTCCTTCCCTGTCGCACACACACACGCACACACACACACACACACACACACACACACACAGACCCATCACTCATTCAGCAGACTAACCACTGCTTGTTCTTATTCCTCAATATTAATCAAACTAATGCTTCATGTTTTATTCATAGGTACATGCAATGACCCTTATTGTCACAGTTTCTGTCTGCCTGGGCTTCGTAATTGTCGTGTTCATTCACAAGACACTCCATTTGCATTGTAGGACTAACAGTGATACTTATCCTGCTGTGTGATGCTCTAAGAATCATGTGAATTAACATGATTGTGGCCCGGAGTTGCCAATGTGCGAAAGCCCTGTCCTTTGACCCCCAGCTGTCTTACGCTTGTCGGATGATGTGAACAATTTTGCTGTCACAGAATTAACTACTTACATTGGCTGTGTTGCAAACCTTGAAAGAGAGGAAACTGCATAATTTGGACTAACGTTGAAATGTCACACATTGGGTTTCCCATGCTAGCAGGCCATTCATCCGGCTCAGACAGATTTTTTCATTTTTCATTCTTTTCCATTACATAATACATAGGACTGTGATGTCAGAGCCAGAGGTCAGCCTTTACTTCTTCATTTCATGCTACTAAAGACATACAGCAGCAGCGCACAGCTGGATCTGTGTAAAATGATAAGGACATTTAAAGAGTAGCAAGATATACTCAAGATGACTTCGCTGAAACTATTGAGCAAGCTGGACTGGTTATAGGGTGCGATTAAAGTTAAGTGTTACAATATGTGCGGCACAGCTGGAGACGTTCTGTACAACTCTGTCGATATTTCATGTTTGGATCTCTGCGTGACTCAGATATGAACCAGGCAAATGCTCCTGCTCATGATTTTCCACGAAGACAAGGGGGATCCAGTGTGGTAAAATTGGATTTCACAGTCATCTGTTGCAGTTATCTCTGCCCCGCGAAGCTGTTTACCAAGTGCAAGTTGGACGAGCAGTTGTAGAGCAATAGAAACTTGCAACATTTTATTTGTGACTGAACTCACCGAGGACTCCAGGACAGAGACACACTTGCTAGAAACAAAACTGACTTCTGCATGTATTTGATGCAGTGATACATCTCCTGTAAATAGTGCTGCATCTAAAGCACTTCACGCAACATCAATAGGCGGTGCTAGAATAGTAAATGGCCGACGGCTTAGAGACGGCATGAGTAGTGTGTGTGTGTGTGTGTGCGTTTGACAGACAGAGGTACACACAGATGTAAAATGTCTTTGTATCTCCTCTGACATGTGATATCTTCCCCTCCTCTAATTCTTGGATTTAATTTGCAGCAATGCTACTCAAGACGCTCCGGCTGCACAGCTAATGGCAAAAACGTGTTCCCTTACTTCCTTGATCGATCGGATGCTCCCTATATCTGAAATCCTGGGCATTTGTTAGCAGAACCTGACGAACGTGCAGTCCCACATCACACTTTTATTATTGCTACCGTATTCATCTTCTATCTCATGGTCGTGAAAATCACATAATAGGTTTTGAAAAATAAAAAGCAATTTGTGGAAAGGATAAAAAACATTTTTTGCTGGGGTTAATGGACTGCTGCTGTGTTCGGTAGTTTTAGAGTTAGTGCAAAAGACTAATCAAAGCATCCTCACAGCTGTTAAATTGAGCTTTTAAAGCAAATTCAGATGGTTTCTGAACAGACTAAAAAAGCTGTTAACCCTCTTCAGGAATTTAAAATCTTCTATTTAGGCTTCCTTTAACAAGTGACTTCCTGAAAACAACAATGGACAATTACTCTGCTAATTGTTTGATGCTGATATGGAACTCATTTGCTTTAGAAATGACTATTAATAAGAGTGTGAAAGCAGGGTCACATCACGACAGCAGCCACATGTCATTGCAAGTTCCTTCCTTCCCCTGATAGTCTTTCAATGACTACTATAGCCGCACACACATCTTCATCCTTCTGGATGACTTTGACAGTGAATTCAACAAACACGTCGGTACAAAGTATCCAATCAGTATGCAAATGTCCATATTTCCTGCTGTCAGCGCCACAAGACGTGAAGCACACACGTCTAACTTTGTTTCTCTTCATCTCGTTGGTATTTGCCGTTCATTCAGTTCTTCTTTGTATTTATTGTCCTTTCCTCAAATGTCTACTTTGCTCTTCTGTGTATTTGCGAACAATTTTTGCTCTCTTGTACTTCTATCTCACTTCATCTTCACAGAAGCCAGACTGATACACCGGCATGCCTTCTTTGTTTTTATTTTCTCCTCTCGTCTCTTCATCTCTATCCTCTGTTGTTGTCCTTTAACGTTGTCCTTCACAATTAATTGCATTCTCAGTCTCTCCTGTTTTTTTTGCTCTTTTCCTTCCATCCTCCCACTTTTGCACTAAATCTTTTCACCTTCTCCCTCCTGCGTTTGGATGGAAAACACTTCCCGGGGTTATTTTCAACCCCTGATAGCCTTCTGTCGCTTGGGGAGACACGCAGTCACAGAGCACACATAAGTCGGAGTCACTGACACAGATGGCTTGGCTTGAAAAGATCCTATTTAATAGTTAAAACTGTTTTTTTACAGCGTTTCAAGCTGGTCTGGTTGAAATTTGAAAGTCCTAAATTTTGGAGCAACAAAACAGAGGATTCAACCTTTCCTAATGTCCTTAATCTCCATTAAAATAGGCCGTCGCCTGTCTGCCTTTCTGTCTATGTTCACCTAAGATCTTCCTTACTGTTTATCAGCCCGGTGTCTAGATTATCACTCTAGATATGCATATTTTTCAACACTGACATTTAGTATGACACACTGAAATAGTCTTGTCTCAGATTCCCCGGATTTGGTGCTCTCACACATCGCTG